TTCCCACAGTTCCATCTCGACCCTCGAGCGAGGCGGAGGGCCTGCGGGATGGGAAGCTACCCCGGGAAGCGCCAGGACGGCGGCCGGATCGGCCGGCGGCGGGTAATCCATCAAGAAGAAGACGTGGACGCCCCTAACGTAATAAAAGGACTAGTCCCGGGCGTTAGAGCCAGACCAAAGCTGTCAGAACCACCGAAGAGACTACCCCCGAAGAACGTCAATATTAAGTCAGGGTTGGACAAGTCCCATTGCCCACTTGCCCAGGGCAAGTAAAAGTACTGTTCGGGCAAGTGAATATCCCTCTGTACTTGCCCGATTGGGCAAGTAAATTTTTTGGATGCCAAGTATAGCCGCTATGGTGTTCGGAGCAAAATTACTCATCATTTTGCCATATTGATATTATATTAATGCCGTTTTGTCAGAAAATCCATTGCAAGTCTCAAACCACCTTATTTTGATAAATTAAGCATGTAGCATTATAAACTCTGAAATGAAATAATTTCCTTGCTGGTAGTAAAAATGCATAAAAATGTCATGTATATTTTGGGCAAGTGAAAAGTTGGTTCGGGCAAGTGGAAATGACCATGTACTTGCCCAATAGAGCAAGTGGATTTTTGAAAACTTGTCCAACCCTGAATTAAGAATGGCAACATCGACCACGACCACGACCACGGCTGACGAGATACAAGACTGGGACCCGGAGCCAGAACCAGTCCCAGAGACAACAGAGCCAGAAGACTGGGACCCAGAATATAGAGAGCGAGCAAAGACCGTCGGGGAGGACTGCTACGACCCGGCGTGCCGGGCCGCCAACCCCGACGGGACGTCCTGGGCAGAGCGCGCCCAACACGCGGGGGTGAACACCTATGTAGTAAACCCCCGCCACATGAGGGAGGTGTACGCCCGCTACCTGATGGAGCGGGAGTACGCTTACCTCCGCTACAGGAAGGGGGAGGTCGAGAGGAGCATCCGCGGCCTCCGCCGCGTGCTGGGCCTGCTGAAGAGGGAAGAGGCCGGGGCCCCGGAGACCAGGGACCTCCACAATTATCTATGGGAACACACTCCGGGGCGCCGAGACATTCCAGTCCCGGAGCCGGACCCCCGTTCCCATCCCATCGTGGCCTTCGTCGCGTCCTGGCGGCCACATCCCGTTTCAACCTGGTACGACGCATCAACACCCTGCGGGAGAGGGTCGGCACATTGGACTCCATGATGTGCCGGCTGCGGGCCATGGTCCGGCGCAAACTCACACCAGCGGCGCTGGGGGCCCGACGCCACGACGTGCTGTGCCGCATCGCGTCGTACCAGTTCCCGCCCGTCGGACTGACGTGGGACGAGCCGCTGACGCGACGGTGGGAGCTCCGATCCTACCCGGACCCCCTTCCCCGCTACCTGGGGTGGTGCCAAGGATACAGAGACTAGAATGTATGAAATTGTGTGGACGTTAATATGTGGACTGATTCCAATGTGCGAATTTCCCCAAGAGGGACCGACAAGGTACGATGTATCCTTCTGTATTTTGTGTTTTGTTGATATGTGAAAATTGGTTAATGTCCCGAAACTGATGCGGGTAGCCGGGGGTTTTAAGTGGGTGACCCCCAGGGAGTTGCGACCCTGCCCGTAGGCCAGCTCCACGGCGTTAGAGCCCCGTGTTAGGATAGTATATGAATTATGTTAGGGTATCGAGTTGTGTTAGTTGTTGAAATGATGTTCCTACATAGTAGCGTAGGAAGATGGGCTGTTCCCTAGCGACCTTTCATCTGTTGTTGTGGTGCTGGGTGAGTCCCCTCCGTTGCCATATGTTATGAAAAAAAAAAGGGAAACAGATAGGGTGTCCGATTCTAGTAATCCTAGTATGTAGACAAACTCCTCTCCTTCCATATCCTGGAAGAACTTGATCTCAGCATCTTCTACTACTCTTAGGTTTGGTTTTTATCTCCCTGATATGCCGCGAGTAATGATAGAAATCTGAGAAACGTGTAAATTGATGAATGATTCATCTGCACCTGATGTACTCAATGTTGCTGAAGTGATTACGAACGTAAAATGTTTCTTTACGGTAGCGTGTACTCCTTTGGCGACGACGTAGGTTGTTGTCATTTGCATCCATGAGGTTTTGAACCGCGTTCTTTTCTGGCACCCCAGTCGTGTCTTAGGCCTACCTCTGCCCTTTTCGGTATCTGGTTGTTCCAGATAAGTTAACTCATCCTCCAGCTGAACCGGAAGTTAGGGGGAATGGGCAAGTAGGGTCCCAAATCAGTGTTCGAATAAGTAGCATTCCGAGTTGAAATGATTTAACTGTAGGATCTGATTTTTTGCGATGCTCGGGCTAGCCGAGATCAAGCACGGTTCGGCTTTTTTATCGCTGAATCAATCCTAGCCTTTCCGATACCTTGTTCTTTTATTGTTGATATAGCGTAGCACTGTTGAAAGAATGTGACAGACGTGCCTGTACTTTGCATGTCCAGTGTCTCCAACCGCGATGTATTTGTTAGGGTTTCCGATGCCTGTGTCGAGCACCGGAAGACAGTGGTATGTCTGTCTCATAGATGGTGTCTCTTCACTCTGTATCTCTACCGGAGGTACCGAATCCCTCCGCCCGATGAATGTAACGTTGATGAGTCTATAATTGTATGTTAAAATGATCTATGAAGCAATGATGTGACCCGATGTGATAGGTGACCGCAGATGTTGATAGCTCTGATGTTGATTGGAAATAGCGTATGTTTCTCTGCGTTGAAACTGAACTGATGTGTGTAGGGACACTGAACTGTTAGCCCGATCCGGACCGAGCCATGTTTTCAATGTATTTTTGTAGGGACTAATATGATGATCTGTATTTTGTATTAGCATTTCTATACTCACGGAACATGATTAGTATGGCACGAATATACCTTGTATCTTTGTATTCACTTTTATAAGTAACACGAGTTGTTAGGCGACATGGTAGATGAAACCCGATAGCAGCGCCGAGGACGTCGCTTGTGTACAGCAAGGGGGGGTGTAAGGAGCCCGCCCGATCACTATAATTAGCGTCGACAGTCGATCACCAGTAATGATGAGTGACATATCTTTATTGAACCAGCACGACTAACAACCGGCGTACCTCGTTCTTGGGCCGGCAGTATAGGGTTACGTTATATCAAAATATCTAATAAGTTCCAGAGATCCGGCCCGTTATGAATGAAATCTGTTGTAACTTGTAGGGGTCAGACCCCACCAGTTATTAGTTCTGATCTGTCACACCCCGAGAGTGTTGAGTAGTTATTAGCAAGTATAACGGAAACCTCCAACTGTCACTTGTTGTAAGGCGCTGAGTAACTGACGAGACGGGGGAGTCCCGCGTCCCGACCAGGACAAACTCTACTCCGCATACAGCCTTTGGCAAGCTTGTTATTTCTCCAAATTCGTTCTGTTATTGATACCAAGAGTGGGAACAACGTTTTAAAGGGGTTTCCCCGCTTGTAACTTTGATTCTGTAAAGGACATGAACTCGACAAAGGTTAATCCAAAGGTTAGGTCGTGATCCCCGGAAAACAAGGATTTAATGAACTAGAACTCATGTTTCCCTCCCAAATGTCTGCTCAATTGATAAGAGACTTTTGATTTTGATAAATGATTTCTGTCAAATTACTAGAGTTTTGGCCAATCGGCTATGACAAATTCTGAGGAGAATAGCCAAATTTGGGAGGAGGGCGGAACCCCGATTTTGAGGAAATAAAAGAAGGAAAACACTAACAATCAGCGAGAAAGCAACTCCGTCGGACTCCACGAGCACGGGAACCCCGAGTCACCGAAGTCAGCATGAGCCACCGAACTTAGACTTTTTCGGCTCCGAGCCAGCTAAGGGGTTTTCCCGAAGTCCGCGGAGAAGGAAGGGGAACTACCGTCCCACCTACTGTTACTCAGCGCCATCTCGCGGGTGTGCTTCGCTGTAACAACGCAGGGTCTTCAGCAGAATAAACCTGTCCCATTGCAACGAACTTGTCGGAGACTCCGTGCCTTCCCTCGACCTCACACACAGCAACTTAAGGGCTCGGGAGACTCTGTCTAACGACCGGAAGCTACGCCAAGCCTTACATCTGGTTACATCTAGTTCATGCGCCGGTGAAGGTTAGACATCCAGGTAATAAGATACGGCAAAAAGCAGTTACTCAAGCATAGTTCAGTGTTCCAAAATCATATCCAGTTGCTTGAGTAACTGCTTTTTGGCAATATAGTTAGTGGTCAACAATGTTGGTTGTAAATATTATTGGCAGTTGATCTCTACCTTCTTCCTCCCTTTGCCTCTTTGTATCTAGAAAATGCGATGCTTTAAATAATACTTTCTCTTTCTATTATGTTACATTGAATGCTATTACTAGTGATTAGTTCAATGTTTTATATTGATTATCTGTGCACTTCAAAACAAGTCAAACCCTGTTGGTTTCTTAATCAACTTCTTGCATGCCACAGGTTGGAGTTCAAAGCTCGAGCAACCAATGGTGGTTATGTCGCCATCAACAACTATGACAGTTCGAGCGGGACTCCGACCCTTAACCCTCGTCAGTACTACCAAGGGTCGGAGGTCATCCGCACTGCCCACTTCTCCTATGACATGCATTGAATAAATTGTGCTCTGTTTGTTTGACATGTTATGAGAGATTATAAATTTTAGCTACCCTCTCCCAGGAGTGGCAAACTCTTCTCTTAGCAGACCAACTCCCTTAGAATGTTATCTGTCTATTTGGGCAATTTCTATTCTTTCCAGCCACATTCTGAAGACTGGTAAAGTTTTAAGTTTTAGCTAGTTACAGTATATATATTGTTCTGTCTAACATCAATCAACTTCATCATTTATTGCTCACACTGAGACATACTGACAGAAATGTAGTAAGTTCTATTCACATTTTTAAGTCATTGTGTTAGCAAAACTAACTAACCAAGAATTCAACTTTAACCAAACATTTACAAACAATACTTAAAAAAATGCCAGAACTTCTATGTCGACCTATACACATCTAGACAGGTGCCTGAAGATGAAACAGAGTTTTCTGGAAAAAGTAAACATACCACTCACCATGTCTGTAGAAGATAATGCTTTTTTAAATAAAACATTACAGGACAAAGATTTTGAAAAGGCTCTGTCGCAATTGAAAACAGGAAAAACTCCAGACAACACTGCAAGGTTGCCAACATGCCATTTTGTATATGCCATGGGTTTAGGTCCGGACTTACAAGTCCGGACCTGAACCTAAACCTCTGGACTTGAATCCGGACCTGAACCTAAAATTGGGTTTAGGTATCCATCACTTGTCTTGATACCATTAATAGGTAATGTTCTTTTGAACCAACAAACCTGATGAAGGCAGCTAATTTGTTGCCAAAACCTTGGCATGTGAAAAACTGCTTGTGTCAGAAAAACAACATCAACCCTCTTTCGTGTTGCACTTCCTTACCTTTGTTTGACCGCATCTCAGCGTCTCTGGTTCGTCACAGCGGAAGGAGTGGTAGTTGATCTCGTTCCCGTGTCGGTGGTACGACCAGCACTCGATGGAATCCGCGGAGAGAACCTTCCAGTAGTAGTCTCCGTGTCGCAGAGAAGGCCAGGCAGCAGCCAGTGTGTCCCGGGAACGAGTGAAGTCTTGATCTGGGGCTGTCCAGAAGTGGTTTGTGGCCAGTGAGATGCCGCTGAAAAAGTAGGAAAAGAAATTAAGTAAATGCTATTCATTGTGCAAAAGATAAATCTGTACTTTCTTCTACACCTAGGAAAACATTTGATGTGTTTCAATCCAGAAATAAGGTATAATTACTAAAAAATGATTCAGAAGTACTTGTAGTTCAAAAAGAAATGCTGCATGCCTATAATTGGCTGTCACTCTCCTATACCAAATGTGATCATAGAGAACAGTGTAAATGCAAAGCATACAACCCCCCCACGTGGGGACAAAATGGTACAGTCCATTTTTTTTATCAAAACATAAACGACACAAGGTCAACCAGGCTTCAAGCAGAGTAATATCATATATCATTCATCCACAGTTAAGGCACTGGAGTACTTAGAACTTCCATGAAATGTGTAACTCTAACATATAGTACTACTGTATGTACAACAGGTTCTATGAGGTTTCACTTTCAGCACCAAGGACAGGTGCCATAGCTGATATAAAAAATTGCTGCAGTGTCTTTATTTTTGGGCCAAATGACCTGAAATTTGGCAGGGAGGCAGAGTGGGCAAATACCTCCAGATGTATTTCTTTATTCTTGTGAGGCAGGCCTTCAAAATTGTTTTATTTAGTTTTTTTTGCCATTTTCAGGTAAAAAATGTACATTTTGTCCACTAGAGCCCTGGTATCAAACCCAAATGACCTGAAAATTGGTATGTGGGTACCTTGGACACATGTCCACAGAAAGAGACTCATGCATTTGGCATACACCACTTCAAAATTGTGGGAAATATGTCTTTTTTTGGTATTTTTAGACAACAAATGTACATTTTTTTGGTCCTGTGTCCTGTGTACAAATTTGGTATCAGGGTTCCTAGGACATACACCAAAAGAATGACGATCACACATTTGCCATACACTACTTGAAAATAATGTAAAATGGGACTTTCCCCCCATTTTAGACAAAAATGTACACTACTGGCTCTTGGCTCTAGTTTTTACTATTCTTCCCATTTTCAGCACACCCTGATAGAAAACTTTTTCAGAGAGTAGAATTATGTATTGACACTACAAAATGACAGTCAATATCTTTAATCCCTCTCAGTGAACGGTATCGAACTGCAACAGGTGCAGGGAATGAAGATCTTGGGCGTGTTTCTCCAGGCCAACTTGCGGTGGAACTCTCACGTTGACTCCATTTGCTGCAAATCCAGCCAGCGCTTGTTCCTTCTCCGCAAACTGAAACACTTTCACATCTCCTCAGAAGACCTCGTCACAGTCTATGTGTCCTATATACGCCCAGTTCTCGAGTACGCTGCCCCCGTCTGGCATTCTGGACTTACCACTGAACTCAGCAACAAGATTGAGAAGATCCAACGGAGAGCAGTGCGCATCATTATGGGTACGAAGTACACATCCTACACTGGAG